GGGGCGGTTCGTGGGTCCCACCCCGGGGGGCTGCGGGGGGGCCCGAGGCTCCAGGGAGCCTCCTGGAAGAGTCCACATGGGATGCAGACCCAAAGGTTGGAATTGCCAGAGCAGGGATGGCAGCATCCCTGCCTGCCTCCTTTTCAGGGAGGTGATGCACAGCTTGCTTCCCTGCCTCCCCTCCCTCAGTTCCCCCCACTAAGGGCAGAGGGAAGAAAGGTGCTGCCTGACAGCCCTGCTTTTAGGTGAGAATAGCTCGTGATGGGATGTCATGGGGACCTGCAGCCTCTTGGAGACCTGATTGTCCCACTCCTCCATGCCCCTGGGCACAGGCTGCTCTCTGTATCAGGGAGGCAAATGCAGCCTTTCCCCTTTAGCTTGTTTTTTCCACCTGCTTGGGTGAGTAAGAGTTGTTATGCTGTCACAAGCTGTTTTGGAGTGCAGATTTCATTGAGAGCATTGGTGAAGGCAGCTGGAGCTGGGACACAGGACTTAAAGTGCTGGGGTAAGTTCTGGAGGCAGGAAGGCTCCAGCTGGACACATCCTTGAGAGTTGTCTCTGGCTCAAAGTAAGCAATAAGTGATGAGGAGGGGCTTTTTGCAGCCTTTGGCATAATTCCTGGCTCTGCAAGTAATCCCACAATGCCCTTTTGACCTGACCTGTGGCAAACAGACCTGTTTAGCACAGGGCCATGGGTTGTTGCTAGCCAGCAGCTGCCACAAACACTCGTGGGTGAAGGAAACTGAGCCACCTATTCTTGTGGCATTGCAGATTTCATTTTAAAGCAACAGTTCTTGCACTTTGGGTGACAGAGGTAGCATTGCTGGTGTTACTTTGTGGTGCCACTGTCTTCTGCTGGTTGGTTGTTGTCTGGCTGAAGTGCACCAGGTTGCACAGGAGTAGCCCAGGTTGTGCTGGAGCTGCAAGGAAAGAAGGTGGCTGTGCCTTGCTCTGCTTTTGAGTGCTGTGTCAAGCAGCCATGATTAGCTGCTGAGCTCTCTGCAGGAGGGAAGAAATGGAGCAGACAGCATGAAGTGAGATGTCTGTGCAGCAGAAGAGAGGGTCTCCCATAAAATGCCACCAAGGCTGGCTGCCTGCACCAGAGCTAGGACCTGTGGCAAGGAGCTCTGCAGCTGTGTGTGGTCATGGTGTTTGGAAACCTGGCTCGGAATGGGGAAACGCTTTATTTTCCTTGTGAGCTACTCATCAGAAGCAGGTTGTTTTGTGAAGCCTCTGTGGGAGGTGGGTTTCTCAGGCGAGGGTGGGATTTCTGGCCAGAGCACATCTGTAACATCTGCTGCATTTTGGTTGGGACTCTTGCCTTTCCCACCCCCTAGTTGAAGGTTCAGACCTTTCCCTTTGAGACCTGAGCCTTGCAATGCCCAATTTCCTATTCTTTTATTACTCCCAACCCAGTCAACTACAGAGCCTAGAAACTCTGTTATTGCTTCCTCCTAAAGCCACCTCTGTTTCTGCTTCCCTGCAAATGAGATCAGCCCAGCAGTTGTCCCTGGGGCCAGGGAGCTGCTGAAGCTCTGGAGAGGAAAAGGAACGGTGCTGGATGGAGGCTGGTGCATTTTGCTGATTTCCAGTAAAATGATCAAACAAAAAAATCATCGATAGTATCTATCTGAGTGGCTTTTTCTTTCTCAGTGGCTTATCTGTCTGTGCTTTTCCTCTGAGGAGGTGGGATGCCAGGGGCTTGGTCATGGGAAAACATGCTGGCAGCCTGCAGGGATTTGCTTTCACCTCATGTGATCCTGCCGGGGAGACTTCCTGGGAATGTTGCATGCTGGGGTAAGGAAAGCCCCATACTCCAAAGGGTTGGACTGAGGCCATGGATCATGGGATGGAAAATGGTGGGCTGCTAAGCCCATGGCTTGAGGGGGCTGGTCTCCATTCCCCCAGGCTTGCTGCTGAAATAAAAAACCCCAGTGGTGCTAGTCTACTCCCTGTGCAAGGTTCACATCCTCCACCTTTGTATGTTCAGCTGTTTGGTAGTTGCAGAGCAGGAATCATTTCCTTCTCACACTTCTGTGTAACCAATGTGTAGCAGTGGCACTGATGGGCAAGGGTTTCACAGTACCAGCTCACTCCCAAGGTGCAGCAGAGTTATTTAAATCCCATCCTGCCTCTGTCTTCCCCTGCTCGCTCGCTCACTCACTCACTCTCTCCATTTGTTGAGTTGTCATAAAAACGTATTGCCAAAAGGTCTCGGTGTCTCACTTGCAACCAGAGACGCCCACGGGTGACCACGGCGTCTGGCAGCCTCTGTTCCTGGCTGGACACAGAGCTGTGCCCTGGCAGCCATGGTCCCTGGCTGGCCCTCAGTCCCTGGGGCTGTGAAGTGCTGTCAGATCAGGTTGGAGACTGTTGATTGGCAAAAAGAGAAGTGTTTCCTGGTGGTTCGGTGGTTTCTTCTGGAGTTCGTGGTAGTCCTGTTTTCTTTGTGTTTCTAACCATTGTTAGGTGCTGGTCTGTAGTCCTCTTTTTCCTCCTCTGGGGTTTTTATTGAAACATGGAGATTTTCCACTGTAAAACTCACCTTTTGGAACTCAAGGAAAAAAAGATTATTAAAAGATTGGGTCTGGGAACAGTGACCACCCATTCCCCAGGGTGACAGGTCAGTCCTAGCAACTCCTTGTAAAAATGAGGCTGTGCCTCCACCCTAGTCAAACCTGCCCTGACTCTAGTAGTGAACTGAGATGCTGCAGGAACTTCCCCCTCGTGCTGGATGTTACTTGCTGGACAGTTCATGGCTGGTCTTGGCTTGTATCATCTGAGGGTAGTTCAGTTCTGCTTCCCAGCTGCTGTTTGAAGGCAGCTCCAGTGAGCCCTCTGCTGCCAGGTTCCTGGTGGGGTGCAGACCTTGGATAGAAAAATCCTTGATAAAACCATGAGAACTGGGAATAGCAGAGTTTTTCAGTGGCTCCATCCAGCTGGAAGCACATGGGGGCTCTGCCAGTGGGTGAGGTGGTGAGTGCAGCTTGGGTTTGGGTGTTTGGTGCCACATTGCCTTGTGGGCAGGGATGTATAGGGGACAGGGGACCTCCCACATGTGCTGTGGGATAAGGTGGAGAACCTCCCAGTTTGGGGTCTGGAGTGCAAGAGGCTGGTAGTTCAGGCTGCTGCAAACCTGCATGCCAGGTGAGAGGGCAGCTTTGTCCACACCTTCCCTGACCCACACCTGAGTTCATCCCAATGGAGGACACAGATGCCCCACAAGATGCTCGCTGCAAGATTGTTTTGCTAACCAGCTCCACCCAGAGCCCCAGGTTTGGGATCTGGATGAGCAGATGTGGTGACTGGACACCAGTGAAGAACAGGCTCAGGTCCTCAGCTTGCTTGTGACAATGTCACCATCATCCACTGAGCTGGGCAGGCAGGTAGAGTGGCTGCGGACGATGGCATTTCCCTGCAGTGGAGGTGCCACTGGGTCCCCAGGCCATCTGCATGCCACCACACCGGGTCTGCTTGGAAAGCCTTCCTCATCCTGTGGCAGGGCCTAGGGGGAATTTCATACAGGCTGTGACAATGGTGCCTGGCTCCAGGACCCACAGAAACTGGCCTGGTTCTTCTGCAGCTTCCTGCCAGCTGCTGTGGGCTCCAGAAATACCCCGGCTCAGCCCACCCTGCAGATGGGCAGCCCTGGCTGTCACCTCCTCCGGCTGCTTGGGACAGGACTACCAACATCCTGTGGGGGGCTGTGGGTGATGGGGGGGCTTGGTAGTACCTGCAGAGCAGAAGGAAGGTGAGACCTCCCAACGGATGCATCTCCCAAAAGCAGACCTTGCATAATTACCTGCGACCGAGGTCGGCGTTAATTGCTGCTCCAGTTGTGGCTGCTGCCAGGTGGCAGCTGTGACCCGGAAAGTCCCTGCTGCTCCCTGGCTGGCAGGTCACCTAAACTGCTGATCAGCCTGGATTGCTCGTGGCATAAGCGTTAGTCTGAGGTCGAGACAGTTTCAGGTGCAGGTTTCCCTCCTTCCCCTTTCAAAATGCCCTTCCTTGGTCTGGTCCTGCTTGCAAGTACCTGGCTGCCTTGGCTGGGTGGAAGAGCCCTTGGAGGTGCCAATGGCAGCACCTCAGCTTTGGCTGGCATCACTCCTGGGGCTGTCTCTGCTGCTGCTCTGCTGCTGCTCTGCTCCACTGGTTAACAAGCTGGCATCAGGGGTATGTTTTTAAAAAGCTGGGCTGTAATTCACAGCAGCTGCTTTCTCACCTCCAGGAGATGTGCAGAACCTGGGGCTGGCTATGTCCAGCTGTTCCCAGGACAGACCTCAGCAAGGGGGGCTTTGGGACACTCACGAGGGCAAAGGATTAGAAAAGTGCATAGCAGGATAACACACTGCCTGTGGGTGTTCCCTCTCCTTGTACTTTGCTCCCAGCCCAGCACATGCCTGGCTGTTCCTGCTGCCCCAATTCGGGAAGTTGTGCCGCTGGCATCTGGTTTCTCTGGCTGAGCTGGAGGACAGAGTGGGTCCTTGCCATGCTGGTGGGGCTCATCTACCCCCCTAGTCCTGCCCTAACAGTCCACCAGGTGTGGGTTAATGCTTCTGACACTGCTCCTTCCCAAACATCCCCCCACAGCCCTTTCTGCCCACCAAAAATACCCTGTGGGGAGTGGGATGTCCAGGTGATGGTCCCCTGCTCTGTGCTGGTGTGCGTGGATGCTCCTGGCTGGGTCTCCAGACTTCCTGGGATGCAGGGACAGGTGGCTGTGACCCCTTTGGGGATACCCACACCCCACAGGGGAGTCTGCCAGTCCTGAGCAGGGCTACTGGTGATGCCTACTCATAAGACACTTCTCATGGCCATGAGTCACCCTGGCACATTCACCCCAAGCAGGGCTGCAGGGGGAAGCGGCTTCACTGGGGACACTTCACTGGCTGGTGAGCAGTGAGGCAGCTCTGCTTCCCTTGTCATCGCACCCTGGACTCCTGCATGGTGGGGACCAGGGGATCATGGTGCCATCTTGAGCCAGAGATGCTCCATTGCCTTGCAGGGATGCCTGGCTGGGAAGTAGGTGACTGAACGGCAGGCATGGAAGGGAGAGGACCCTACCGCATCTACGACCCCGGCGGGGGCTCAGAGGAGAATGGATCCACGGCCTTTGAGCGGCTGGTGGAGGAGAACAGCCCGCTGAAGGAGAAGATGCAGGGGATCAAGTCTATAGGTAACTGCTGCATGGCCGGGGAACAAGGGTCGTCTTTGCGGCAGCTCAGACTGTGCCTGGGGGCTTCTTGCTCTATTTAGGAAGGTGATAGAAGAGACTGGGGGTCTTGGCACTGGGGCAGCAGCCAGGCTCTTGCCATCCTGGGGGGTTAAGAAGGATGTCTGGTCTTTACACGTGGGGGTGCATAGGGAACAAGGCATTTGCTGAACTCCTGGGGTGCTTTACAGTGGGATAAAGGGCTGGAGGGAAAAAGGCAAATGATAAAGCAAGGTCAACTACTCAGAGTCCTGCAGTGGCAGGTCACAGATGCCAGGATCTGTTTTGCTTTTGGTGACAGCCTGTGCCTCCCACAACCACTGCTGGGTCAGGAGCTTTTCCTGGGTGCTGTTCAAAGACTCTGGTATTGGGTACTCCCCACAGTGGTAGGGACATGCCAGCATTTAAATGCCCCAGCCAAGTCATGCCACCTCCCTTTACCTCCTTGGCCACCCTCCCCCACCCACCCCAGTTTTGCTTTCAGTCCCGTGACCCAGCTTCCGCTTTCAAGTCCTGCTTCTGCAGCCAAATTTCCACCTGCCTCGTGATTCCCGTTGTGTCATCATGCCCCTCTGTGGGACCAGGACCCACTGGTGTGGGAGCAGACCCCTGGGGTGGGGAGAGGATTGTGTTGCTGGTGCCAGACCCCAAAGTGGGCAGGCTGGGTGGACCCTGAGGTCCATCACTGAGGCTTAAATTTGTCTCCTCTGGAAAGCAGATGAGACCTCTGAGAGATGCAGTGCTGCCTTTTTGCCTCCTGTAATGAGTCCTCTGTGTGTCAGCATGGAGAACTCTGCACCCAGTGAGGCACTGATACAGCTTTGCCATTGGATTTGGCCAAGAAAAGTTGTTTCTGGATGAAGAAGGACCATGCTGGGCACTTCTCCACCCAAGGAGGGGACTGGGTGTTGATGGATGGGGCTGCTACAGGGCAGGTACTCAGGGAAGAGGGTGAACGTCCTTCTGCTCTCCACAACAGGAGAGCTGCTGGAGGAGTCCCAGATGGAGGCATCAAAGCTGCGGCAGAAGGCAGAGGACCTCGTGAAAGACAACAAAATGCTGATTGCATCATCTACCTTGGAGGACCTGCTGGAAACTGGAGGTAGGAGATGCAAGGCTTGCTGGGGAGGGATAGCTCAGGATCCTGAGTTCAGGTGAAGGTAGGGCATGTGAAGGAGACTTTCATGAGGGTTTCTTGCAGCCCTCTTGTCTCTAGAGTGTGTCAAACCACTGATGTTGTCCCTTCTTCTGGAGGGAGGTTTCTTTCCTGTCGCTATAGCTGGGGGAGAAACCATCCATCAGTGCCCAGCCTTGAGGGTTCCCTGCTCTCTGCATCTCTTCTCTGGGTGGGGTGAGGCCCTGGTCTCCAAAAGGCTCACAGCTACGTCCTCTCCCCTCTCTGCAGCCATCGGCCCTGATCCCAGCTCCACGCAGGTTGCCCAGGGGAACATTCAGCCAGACACGGAAGCACAGAAGTCTCCTTCTAGTGTGAGTCTGGTGAACGTGAAAGCTGGTGCTGGGGAGGCCAGAGGGAGAGCCTCTCCATCTGGTTAAGCAAAAGGAGGCAGCCTTGAGCCTCCAGAAATGGGGATAAATCAAAAGGAGAGATCAGCTTCCCAGCTGTGCTCCCATCCTGATGGTACCTGCCTCTGCATGGAGGGGATGAGGGGATTGCTGTTCCCTGGGGAAACCTGACCTGGCTGCCTCCCCTTGCAGGGATCCCCCTCTGAGTTTGAGATTGTTCCTGTTGAAGTGCAAGGGTTTCCCCAGGAGAGTAGGAGAACGGTGAGTGGCCCTTGGTACCTGTGAGGTTTGGTGGGTGGAGTGGTGGTGGTGGCTTTCTGTGTGTGCTGGCAGGAATGGGTGCAGGGATGGGGAGCCCAAGGGGCTCAAACATGAGCTTGCATGATGCAGTAAGGGGACGTGCTCTCCTTGCACATCCCTGTTTGCATGGGCCCGAGAGGCTCCAGGAGGGGTTGAGTCTTGTTGGACCCTGCTGGAGTGCAGCTGTGGGGTGATGGAGAATGGGGTGGCATCTGCTTGGTGATCAGATGCCGAGTGCTGGTCCTGTCCTTGCATCCTGGCTCTCCCAGGCGCTCCAGCTGGGCTCAGATCCTCACTGCCTCCCCTTGATGGGAGGAACTGATTGTACTGTGCCCCACACACACCCTCCCATGGCAGTTGCAGGGCTGTAAACCCCAGGGCCAGGGTGCAGGGGACACGCTGGGCACCTGGTTCCCTGCAGTGCTGCCTGGGGCATTCCCAGGGGTGGCTGGATGAGTCAGCTGGGCTAGGAGCAGAGCGAGCAAAGGTG